TCACATAATTTAAATTAATTCAAAAGTATTCAAATTATTTCACATTTTATTAAATACTTTTAATGTTCTCAAAATTTTTATTTTTTAATTATTTTGAATTGTTTCACTTTTATTTGAATATTAATATAAATTTTAATAACTTTACTATTTTTAATGTTTTTTATTTACTTTAAAATAATTTAATTTGCTTATAAACTTTAATCATATTTAGAAAATTTTTTCGATTGTATACATACTTGCATCATTTATTGTTTTTAAATATGACTTTAATTTTTAATATACATTTTTATGCAATCAATCATTTAATACAAATATTTAAATTAATTATAAAGAAATTATAATATGATGAATAATTATGCCTAATTTATTGTTTAACAATAGTATTTTATTAAATTAATAAGTAGCAAATGATGCAAAAGATTTCAAATATAGAATTTAGTAATATTTTTCAATACTTTAAATTAATTTACAATATTTTGCAATATTTTGAATCTATTTAAATTATCATTAAGTTAAGATATTTAAAATTTTTCAAAAGTATGTGAATATACAGTATAATCTCGATATAACGAAGCTTTGAAGCTGGAGGTTTTTCTTCATTATATTTAAATTTCTTATAGATTCATTATATTGAGAATATTTTAAATATAAAAATTTGGAATGACCTTTGTTATACAATTAGTGTTCATAATATTGAGGTTCATTATATTAAGATTATACTGTATTAAAAATTTATCAAAATATTCTAGAAATTTTAGTAGTTATTTCATCAAATTTGAATACATTTTTACAATCTAGATAAACTTTACTGTAGTGGTTTTGCATGTTATAATAGTTTGATTTTATTTAAAAATTTTTGTAAATATATAAACTCCTTGAAAGGTTATTAATTTTTGATTTATTTTCCTTATTCTTTTTTTATTTATTTCATATTTACAATTTTTAAAAAATTTTCATAATATTTTGAATTATTTCAACACATCATAATATAATTACATATGTATATAGTAATGATAAAGATTATTTAAAATAAATATACTATGTTATTATCTACTTAGAGATTTATTTTATTAAATAATTTATATTAATAAACTTTCTGTTATTAGTTAAAATTTTATTTAAAATTAATTTTACTATATTATGATTAAATATTAATTTTATTATTATTTTTTTATTTTAATGAACTTTGAAATATTTTAAATTATTTTAAAATATTTCAAAATATTTTTGCATTCTTTAAAATAATTTCTATATTTATTTTTAATTATTTTGTCTTTCATAGTTTAGATAATTTTTTTGCTATATTTCAAAATATTTTCATTGTACAATAATTTTGAAAAATTTTTTCACAATATTGTGAAAAATTTTTCATAGTGCAATAATTTCGAAATTTATTTTGCAATATTTTAAAATATTTTATATTTTACAAAAATTTTAAAATTTCTTTTACATTATTTTGAAATTTTTGCACTATGCAAAATCTTTCGAAATATTTTGTATTAATAATTTTGCTAATGATCTGATAGTTGTATAATAAAAGTTGTATATATTTTTTTATTTTTTTTTTATTTTTTTTTTATTTTTTATTTCTTGTTTTGTATTTTTTATCTTTATCTCCTATATCTTTGTATTTTTTTTTCTGTTATATAATAAGTTTTTTTTATTTTTTTTTACTTCTCTATGAGAAGATATTATTAGATTAATAATCTCTTATTATAGGATAGTAGTTAGATATGCTTTCAGACTCTTTTCTTTTTTAGGAAATTAGACAACTAGTGCAGGCAAATCGCTTGTAAGTACTTATAGAAGTAATTGTGAAATGTTAACTCAATATGTTAAGTTTAAAAATATTTGTATAAAAACATGATATCTTAATAAAAAGCAATCAGCAAGACTGTCAAAGTTAAAGAAAAAAAAAATAAGTTAGATGATATTTAAATGTATAAAAACTTTAGTATTACTCATTTGATATAATACAAGATTAAAATATTTTAATAAATAATCTTTTAGTAGTTTGCAAATATGAAATCTAATATAAAGCTTTTGGATAAGCTACTTAAATAAGCAACTAAAAATTATACAAGTAACTAATTGTATACTTATCTTAGTACAAGTTATATATATATATACTGTATATAATTAAAAACACAATAAAAACAATAAAAAAATAAACATCAACTCTTTCTGATAATCACCTGGACCAAGTTGGCACCAAAAGTAGATTGAAGACTCTGGCTCCAAAGTGAATAATATTCTTAGTTTTACATTAAGTAACTTGTTGTCGACAAAGCTCAAGTATGTAATATACCAAGTAATAGACGAAACTTAAGTGGTTCTTGCCTTGGGTTAAGCTTTTTGTCTGGTGAACTCCCTCGCATATTCAGCATCCAAACTGGAAAGATATTCTGGAAGCAAGTAGAGACAAAATCAGTTCTCTGATTAAGAATATTAGAAGCAGAAGAAAAAAAAGAATAACTAGAAAAACTCTTCTTAACTTGGACCCTTGCAACAACGATATACTTCCACTTCATCTTTTTTTTGTTTTCTTTTTTTTGAAAAGTGGGAATTTGGCTTACTTCTATCAAAAGATCGACATTATGCATCATTTTCTTTTGCAGTTATATGCTTGTTTGGATATAGCAAATAAGGAACACAACAAACACGTGAGTTAGCCAATTATGTGGAGCAGATCGAAAAAGGATTTAATTCAGAAAGACCAAAAATATATTGAGATATGTATATATTCCAAGGCCATGTACATAATATTTTTTAAAAAAAGGGTTACAGAGGTTTATGAAGAATTGGACCACTTAAGTGTACTCCAAACCTTGGCACAGTATCCCATCTACTTGAAGATTTCTCCTATATGGAAAGTGGCCAGCTCGAACTCTGTCCTACAAGTGAATACAGTTTTTATTCTGATTAAGAGTACCTAGTTTCTAGAGAATAGCCATAGTCCATAAAAATATGAAAACATTGTAGTGAGCAGCAATCGTAGAATAGAGTTTTATCCTGTTAGCAGGTTTCCTTCTTTATTCTCCTTATAGATTAGTTTCATTTTTTTTTGTTTAGTTTTATTTTATTCATCATTTTCGTTCCTCCCTTTCCCAACTTTAAAATCATTTTTTTTTTTTTTTGTTTTTCTCTTCCCTATAAGAAGATGTCTCTAGATTGATGATATCCTATTGTGAGGTAGGGGTCAGACGAGTTGTAATTTCTAGTCCTAACTGGATTAGTGCAACAGGTCACATTTAGGTACCATTTGGGTGACTGAATAATGGTAGACTTATAAATTAAATGATATTCTGTATTTATATATGTAGCTACAAATGGTTTAATAAAGTAATACCATGACTGCTTAAGGGAAAAAAATAAAAATAAAAAAAATAAAAGTAGTAACTACTATTAATATTGACCTTAGTGAAAGCAAAAAATATATATATATATATTTTATAATTGGGTTTTTTTTCATATCTATACTTAAACTTTTTTTTACAAACCTTTATTTTTAATTAATAACTCTCTTAGATTACAAAAACAAAACTTAGTTTTACCTTTGAACTATTAATTGATCTTATTTGTAAAATTTTAAGAACTTAACCAATAAGTTACAAAACCCAAATCCTATATTATATAAAGTCTTAAATAATTAAACAAAGCATTTGGTTAATCTTGGGTTATTATATATAAATTGAATTTGTTATTACTTAGTTTCATAGACATTTTATTTCACTAATTCAAGTTTGATTTACAGATGATTCATTCATAGTAAGTTCATTTTATAAGTACAAATATAGTTCATTGCATTTTATGAACAGTTCTTATTTCACATACAAGTTTTATTTTTATAGTTTGCGCTAACCTTAGGCGTAGTTTGGTTCTAAACCCTAACAACTATTATAATTACTTTGTTGGTGAAATAACTATGAAACCAACTAATTGGTGAATTAATTGTCTATAAAATAAACTTGTAATTAATTGTCTGTAAAGTAAGATGTCAATGAAGTGATTGTCTACAAGGTAAGTAGCACCTTATATTATCGTTATGGTTTAACATAGACTACATAAAAGCACAAAAAAATTGGGTTACAATCGTGTAAAAATATATAAGGAAATAAGGTTAGTAGTAAACAAGTGTTAAGATCGAGATTTACCTAAAATGAATGTACGTAAGTTATAATCATTACAATGACAATAAAATTTTGGGATAGCTAAAAGACACAGTATTACGTAGTATAAATTCTCTTTTAACTAACTTGATTAAACAGTCGATATTATAAAGTTTGTACAATATAATCGAAGATTTTGGTATCAAATGTATACTAAATTACGTAATATCAATTCTTTTGGGCTAAGCCGGCAACAGTGAAAACTTAAAATATTCACATACAGGTTTTTCTCTGCAATACTCATATGAATGAGGTTTTATGATGAAACGGTGTTCTTTTTCGTTGTGAACCAACCATGATATAATGTTTAATGAGAGTAAGAGTGCTGTCAAATGAAATCTTTATAGATAAGATTTCTGGCAATACATGTATTATTTAGGAGTATTGTGACTTTAGAATAATACGTAATACAATCATATATATTCTTTATCGTTATCATTATGTTTAGTTTCTAATGATATGTTTATCACATCTTTTTAATAAAACACAAACAGATCCTATCTATTCTGCTCTGAAGAATTCTTAGATTGCATCGAATTACATGATCTTTTTTGATCTTTCATAGAAGACAAAAGAGATTTAAAGCTTTTATTACAAGGACATACTGTATGATAAGCAGTAATTATCACCATTTAATAATGTACTGTACGTACAAGCATTAAAAGAGTGGTAACACGGGTCTTTCCTATTATCAAATGTCCTTAGGTTGTTTATGTGCTTTAAAGTGTCAAGAAAATCTTCTGGTCCAGCTCCGGAGACGGTTTCTTTACATTTTTCATGTAGTGTTACCGTTTATTCGGACGTTAATCAGTGCATTCACGGATACATTTGTTATTCTTCAGCATGTTTCTTGTTGGCATAAAGAACTAGTAAACGTGGGAAACGGACTTCAAAGAATGGGGATTTATTCTTGAGTAATTAAAAACTTAGTAATAACAGTAAATAAATAAATAAAACATCGTAATTTAAATTAACATTAAGTTTTAAACATGTGCTTATCGCTGGAGGTGACAGTGGTCAACCAATCAGATCGTGTAACGTAAAATCAAAACAAGAATGTGCTACTACCATTAGAATGGTATGTAGTAAAATTCTGCAACTTTTTTTGTTAGAACACGAAAAACGGTTCGTTGAGACAATGAGTTTCGCGTTTCTGACCTTTTGATTTAATTGGTCAGTGATCGTCACCAAGATCCTGAACGATTTTCATATAACGTTTGTTATATTGTCCGGGTCCTCTATCATCTTCGTGACAAATATATTTATCTTTGATTATTAATCAAAGACAAAAAAAATTTCATCTCAAGTGGAGGATCAGCCTCCAGTGCTTGATCGGGTGTGATCTGCAGCCTTTGACATAAAGGCACTCGTGCTTAAGCAATGTAAAACCAGTGTGCATGTAAGCACCAGGAGCGTAATCATGCTTGCATATGGTTTACAATCATTTAGAATGGTATAATCAAGATCTCACATTTGATTGGATAATATAATCTAAATACAGTCAGACCTCTCTAAATGCACGCCATTGGGACCACATCATCTAGTAATTAACAAAAAGGGGACTCTTCACTCACCCAATATACGTACAAGTTACTCTCGTTATAGTGAAGTATAATCGGGACTATTAGTAAAAATTTCACTGTATCGAGAGGATTAAGAGAGTTTTATATACACTGGTTTTGAGTCTAACTTCACTATAAACCTATGTCTTCATTATATCGAGAGTGGCTTGTATTAAATATAGCATACGTATCACCTGGTATTTCTATTAAATACAATGTGCGCATGCCGCACATTTAAAATTTTTTTATGTTCACAAATTAAAATTTACGAGAATGTCAATTTTATTCACTGGCTTTAAATGCAAAATTACGTCAGATTGTTGAAAAAAAAGTGGAATAGTAAAAGCCTTAATATCGCTATATTTACTTTCAATTTGTTGTAATTGTTGTTCTCTAAGAGGTCGCCAACGAGGTGGTTCTTTCCTTCTTTGATAAATCATAAAGTCAAATAATTAACAATTATAATCAAAAAAAAAAATTTTTTTTTTATTAAATGACACACCCTTCCTCACTTCTCATGCATTTCCAGAAGGCAATGCAAGGTTCACGAAATTCCATCGGATCTAATGTCAATCCATAAAAAATATCCAAATAATGTAAATAGCACCTGTGGGGTCCTGGAGATGGCCGATCGCCACGAAATCTTTTATTATTTGTAATCAATCCCATCTTTGTAAGAGGACCTTGATATTCAGGTGGGTCATTATTGTTAGGTGAGGAAGCCATTTTTTTTTTAATCTCAGAATGTAACACCATATATATATATATACTTGTTTGATATCGGTATCTATCATTATTGTTTATTTGTTCAATATTTGGCTGTCGGACATTACCGGTCCTTTTTTGTACCAAAGTTACATCTTGTGAGTCATATGTGGAAAAAAACGGGCCGCTCATGTTGGCGTTCGGGTTGATCAGAGGATGCTTTTACTGTACTTTTTTCCATTATTGATTCTTTTGCTACTCAAAAGATTACTTTAATTGTTAAAACCCAATAATATTTTATTGATTCCTCGTGGTTATTTTAAACGTGATCTCCACATAGTGATAGAAAAAAAAATAAGCTCTAAATCATTATATCGATATACAAAGTATATATTCCCATTTTATAAACAAGTATCCATATGGGACATATAGGACGTATAGAAACCAATACCAAAATACTAGAACGAGGGATCTGTTAATCTGGTTAATGGGGTAAGGAACTTCATGCATCTCCATGATCGTCATGAAAATGCTAAACATATATATATATATATGTATAACATGTCACCCTGAAACCTAAAATTATTAATAAAAACTAAATAAATACTATAAATACTTCCTATATCATTGCTTTTTATCCAATAAATCTACTTTTTTTTTTACTAACACTCTTTGTTCTTTGTAATATATCACCACCCCATTCGCTGCCAGAATGTCCTCACCTCAATACAGAACTAGAAAAAGTTCGTCTCCTCCTTCACCAGCTTCTGAGGTTGGTTCTGTTTTAGAGTTTTTGTTTATTCTACTGAACGTTTATTCACTAACTCTTTTCAACCTTTTTACAGCCTTCTCGAAAAAAATCTGACTTAAGAAAGAATTCAAATCCTCGTAGGCCAACGAGGCAAACACAAAGACCCGATGGCACTGTAAATTCATTAAAACCTTATCAACCATTGACTGTCAGAGAGAGTACTTTGGTTGTTGAAGCTTCACAGCTTATGGCTGCTAAACGTGCTGATTGTGTGTTAGTGGTTGATAGTGAAGAACGCTTGTCGGGTATTTTCACTGCCAAAGATTTGGCCTTTAGAGTAGTTGGTGATGGGCTAGACTCAAGAACAACTAGTGTGGCAGCAATAATGACGAGGAATCCAATGTGTGTAAGAAGTAATGCATCAGCGACCGATGCTCTTAATACAATGGTTCACCGTGGATTTCGGCATCTAGTAAGTTTCATATTTGATAATCTTTTTCATTTGTATTACAATTTTTTATCTTCATTATATTGATATATTTTGATTTGTGCTAGCCTGTATGTAATGAGGAAGGCGACGTTGTAGGTCTCCTCGATATAACAAAATGTTTATATGAAGCTTTAGACAAAATGGAACGTGCTTATGGTTCATCCAAGAAACTATATGATGCCCTTGAAGGTGTAGAGAGAGAATGGTCAAATCAACCTACACCGATCCATCAATACATGAATATGTTACGTGAAACGATGGCATGCCCTGATTTATCCACAATATTAGATGGTTCAATGCCAGCTGAAGTTTCTACTAGAACTTCTGTAAGAGACGCTGCTCGCCTAATGAGAGAATATCACACAACTGCTGTCTTAGTTATGGAACATAATCTGATTGCTGGTATTTTCACAAGTAAAGATATTGTATTAAGAGTTATAGCTGCTGGTTTGGATCCTTCGACGTGTAGTGTCGCAAAAGTAATGACTCCACATCCTGATACTGCCCCACCGCACACTAGCATTCTTGAAGCTCTAAAAAAAATGTACGGTAAGTAATTATTTCTATATATATGTATATATATATATATGTTTTTGTGATTATATATCTCTCGCTATAAAGCATGATTGCAATTTATTCTTGCCGTAATCTTGTCATCCCGCGAGAGAATAATAATTTACATGATCCAAATAATTTGTACAAAGTGGATTTAATCAATAGTTCCTTTAAATTATTATCGGATCAACAATTAATGTTATTATCGGGTTTGTATATCAATTTCTGACACCCTATCAAGAATGTACCCATTCCAAATAATCAATGTTAAATTGATAAAGATTTGAAAATAGGTATATTTTTGATAAGGTGTCCGAAATTGATATACAAAACTGACATTTTTTAATCTAATTAATCTAAATTGTTTTTTTTTTTTGTTCTACAACGTAGACGGTCATTATCTAAATCTACCGGTGGTTGATGGTGGCAGCATTTTAGGGATGGTTGATGTATTAAAATTAACATACGCTACCATGGAACAGGCAAGTTTTTATACAAAAATATTTCTTTATATTTTTAATCCTTTATGTTTTTTGGTAATAATATATTATATTAATCATTTTTAATAGATGTATTCTAAGCAACCCCACGAAAATGGTCATGAAAATGGCGGACCAATGTGGAATAAATTTTGGAACTCGCTTGATGATGATAATGAATCAGTTGCTTCTGATTCAATAGCTCCATCACAGAGTGCCTCAAATATCCCACCTCCATCGCCAAATTCACGCATGCGTAACTCCGGGCACGTTTCTCCCATTCCAGAAATTCATCCTGGTGAATCTGCTTCGGCTGTAGATGATGGTTCTTTGGCTTCATTCCCTAGAGGACATGATGAAAATCATTTCACTTTCAAATTTAAAGCACCAAATGGAAAATCTCATCGATTCACTGTTGATTATACTAGCTTTGAACATATTCGTTCTACTGTTGCTTCTAAACTTCCTCCTAGTTTTAAAGATTTCTCTATCTCTTATGTGGACGATGATGAAGATCTTGTTGCAATGTCAAATGATGAGGATGTTGAGGATGCTGTACATATTGCTCAAAGACAAGGTCAAACACGCGTAATTTTGCACATTCAAGAAATTCAAGCACAGCCAAAACCACGGAATAGCAAAATCGAAATTGATGATGATGAAGATGACGAATATGATACAAAGGGTGGGCGAAAACCAATAAGACGTGGCAAGAAATCGGATGATAATATTCCATTTTCGCACGAGCTGTTATTGCCCGGTGCCCTTATTACGCTTGCTATTGCAATTATAGGCGTATTTGCAATATCAAGGTTGACAAAATAATTGACAAATTCTTTTTTATTCAATGCACGATATTGTTCTGTTTCTCTTGAACATTTGATTATTAAAAGGTTATGCTAATGTGGGATTATGTGGGATTATGTTCATGAATTGTTGGCATTACTGTTTTTATTATTATTTCGTTGGAAAATATGATACTAATTTATAACTTTACTATTTTATAATTTCCATTCCGTTCCCATCGTACATTATATATCAGCCATTCATGGTGACATTTCCATTATAGAATACATGTATGACTTTCATTTAGTCTAAAATAATAATTTCATGCATTTTATATGCTTATGTAAACAATCACTATCTTCACGTCTTAATATAAAGACGAAAAAAGAAACATTGTTATCAATAAGACAAAAAGAAAAATTTTATATTATAGTTTCTTCACTTAGTTTATCAATTCCTAACTTTGTTGGAATTGTTAAAAAAAAAAAAAATCATTACAAAAAATCCCCACTCTAATTTTTTTTTTGCATTAATTATAATTTTATAATAGTTGGGAATGGTTTGCTAATATGATTTAGTTTTAGTAATTTATTGAACTAAATAAAACAATTCTAATACTATTTGATTAACGAGTGTTTGGCATGATTAGAAATTTTGATAAAATTAATGCCAATATAAGTGTAATAATAAAATACACACTTGATTGAGTTGATTTTAATTGGTTAGTTCATTAGAAATATATATTGGTACGTATATAGTTAACTATTACAGAATATATATAGTTGACCTTCGTTAATGTCAACTTATTTGGGTTAGACAATTACGTTGATATCTACGAGGGTTGATAAGGAGAGCCCGTTCTCGATTTTCTATGTACTAATTAAACTAGTCTTCTATTTCTAATAAAAAGTTGTACTGACATTTTTATAGTTTTAATTGTGTTAAGTTCATCAAATTTGGTCAGATATGAGCAAATTGTTTTTATTGGATTTTTTTTAAAACTTTAAATACTAATAACTTAACAAAAATTTGATTAAATTTAATAAAATTTTTCTAAAATAAATTTTATTTATTAAATTTGATTAAGTTGTTATTATTATTCAAAATTTTAAAAAAATTTACTTAAAAAAAATTTGCTTGATTTCTATTAACTTGATCTTATATTATGAAATGCTGATTAATATTTTTCTTAAAAAAAAAAATTGGTTTAAATATATTATAAATAACATTTTGGCAAAGTTTCTAAAAACACATTTTATTAGAATATGCAATATTAAATAATTAGTTTAGTAATGCATAAATTTTGTAATTTATAATCAAGACAAATTACAAAAACTGTAAAGTTTATTGTAATTTGTTTAGATTGCTGCTATTACTATTTCATTATTACAAAAAAAAATTTTAAAGTATATTAAGTAGTTATAATAACATTTTTTTAGTAAATATTACAGTATTTTGTTTAGCAAAGTATAATAAATTTTTATAAACTCTTATTTTGTTTAACAAAATATAATAATTTTTTTCAAAATCATTATGAACCTAAAGCAAGTTTTATTAAAAAGTTATATATTAGAGTTCAATAAAAATTTTACAAAGAACTATAATAAACTACTGCATTAAATTTGTTATTATTATATTAACTATATATAATAATTAATAAATAATAATTTTATATATTAAATCAAATAATTATAAAAAAAAAAAAGTATAGAAAAATAAACAGTAGTTAAATATAATAATTAATACTTTTAAATTTTTTTTTAAAAAGAGAGTTAAGATGAGATTTTGCTTATATCTTTATTAATTTGTTGAAGATATCTTTAGAAGCTTTTTTGAATATAAATTACAAAATCTATTCCAATTATAAATTTGTTACAAAAATAAAGCTTAAACTATAGAAAAAAACTAACTATTATTTATCTAATTTATCTGCAACTTAAACCTACTAGAGTGGTTAAAA